GGAAGGCTTTGCCATGTGGAGGAACTAACAAAACATTTCGGTATTTACTGAAGTATTTTAGTAGACAGGCTGGGGTTCAACTTGTATCACAGTGAGATCATCAGTTAGAGAATGATTTCATTGATCTAGCCTACTCTTCAGTCTTTTAAAGTCTCCATTGATTAGGCAACTGAGGTTGTTCTGTGGGAGGCATATCTTGACAGGAAAAATGAATGCTCTGTTAAAATATAATTAAAACATACTGTTTGAAGAATGTTTGAATGTCACAGATATTCAGAGACTTTCTTCACTAATGTGAAGGATTATTATCTCTGATTTACTCTCCCCATGCTCACCTGGGTGGAGGAAGGTACTCCTCCAGGTCATGAAGTTTTTTTTTTTAAATGAATGGGGTCACCTGGAGACAAACATGTGACCAGTACCCATTACTGAGAGGTCACCAGGTACCTCATAGGAAGGAATTTGGGGATGCCTAGGATTCTCTGTAAGGCTCCAGACACTTTGAAAGTGATGGCTTGGTTAAAGGCATGCGCGAACGTGCACCATAGAGACAACCTGAGTTTTCAGGACAGGGCAGAGCTGGGTTCGAGTCCCACTTACTCTATGGAGATTGTTATTCATCCTCTTTGAGTTTGAATTTCCTCATTCATAAAATGAAGATACAATCATTTAGAATCATCTACTTGATATTGTTATTATAAAGAATTCAAGGAGACCAGGCCTCTAAAAGGTGTAGCAGGACATTTAATACATTTAAGAGGCTGAATAGGTACCTGTTCCTCTCCTGAATGAGAGGTGAGGAGGAGATAGGGGATGGAGTGGGGATAATGAGGGTTTTCAAACTATCTGTCTGCTCAAAGGTAGAATTCCTCCTACTGACTGTTCTGAAATGTAAAGGAGAAATGTGCTTGAAAGGTGCCCAGGAAGACCTGGAATAGACCAGATGATAGCCCCAAGAGCAAATTTAATGGACTGGAGGTAAGGAGTGCAAACTTCAGAAAGACTGACAGATCCTAATGCCCTCTCTGCCACTTTCGAACTAACCGTGTGCCTTTTGAGCTATTTAATCTCTACCCTGTATGTAAAGTAGTAATAATGACACTTGTCTCTGAGTGAGTATAACAGAGGTCTGTTTTGCTTGGCCAACCCATTTCTTTTATCTTGAGACTTGATTCTCTCTCTCTCAAGGAAGGGTTCTTGAAGCCATGCTTGAAAGAAACTGCTTAATACAGCGCCCAGGGTGTGATGAAGCCTTGGTAATTTTTAAATCCAAAGGAAAGACTACTTCTTGGCATGTACTTCCACAAGATCTCAGTTTATAGTAACTGTAAAGTGGACAGTTGCTACCAGCCTAACGGGCAGTGCAGAGGTGATTTCCCCCCGGTTCTAGAGTGACGGCTCAAACCAAGAGAAGTATGACATTCCTATCTTTATATCCCCTTCATGTCTGAGACATCTCTGAATGAAGTTTATGTTAAACGGTTTCCTCCGGAAAAGCCTAACAATTCTTATGCTAGAAAGTTTAATGTTATGGTCTGAGCATAGATAGATTTAGATCTAGAATTGCTTATTTTTAACAAGTCTGACTGAGAGACAACGGAGGCAAAATACCATTGCTAACCATACCTCTTTCTCGAGTGCAACTCTAAGTCTATATCATTGGAATGGCTGCTTCTTTATCCTTTCCTCAATGAGTTCTGCTCATTAAATGCCACAAAACTTACTTGGCAAGGGTTAGATCTCATTTTTTTCATTAAAGTAAAACAGACACCACGGTGAGGAAAAAGTAGGGGATTTAAGTTCCTGTGATCCTAAGTCTCCAAAATGGAAGTGGTCTCCCTAATAAACAATAGACAAAGAAATCCTTTTCTATTTTAGTATTAATCTCAACTATCCACTAATATTTTGAAGGTAGAATTTTTGCCCATCTATATACTTTTTAATCTTTAACAGTATTCATTTCCTTTTCTCTCTCATGTCATGGAAATATTACCTCCTCTTCGCTCTTTGCCACACAAACTTGAGGTTCATTTTGATTTGTTTTTCTTCTATAATTTTCATCCTAGTTGGATTTTCTCAGCTGAAAACGTACAGATGATTTTTTTGTATGTGACAGAATATTCCCCTCCACCCCTACATCCCCTTCTCCTAAAACAGAAAGTTTCCTGGTTTAGAATCAGTCAATAGTATGATTTATGCACTTTAGAGATTCCCTCAAGTTTTCACACATGCTGAAAAATTCTGCATTGTTTTGGGGAAAGCAATAGGGATTTAGGACAAAGTACCGTTCTTTCAATGCTATCCACTATGCAGTTGATAAATAGTCTTTAGGCACAGCATGGCCACCCCTACAAATACTTTCCCTTAATTTACATACATATGAATGTGAATATAGACATATGTATACATATATGTGTATGAATATATATATACACATGTGTGTATGTAATCTATAACCAGCAAAGTATAATCCAGGTTTCTTTTCAAAAGGAGCAACCAGTTCAAATGCACAGCTGGGTATGGCAGAAAACACATAATTAGACAAATTGGATTGAAGAGTTACGTAAGGTCTCAACTGAGCCAGTGAATGAGAAGCTGAATGAAACGTTGTGATTGCTGCTCCGGTGCCTAGAAAGAACAGAATATGTGGATATGTGTGTTTTGGGCAAATAAAAGGCAATTACTGGGAGTTATGGAGTGCAGTTGGCATTCCATGCAAGTTAGACTAAAGAACGTTTCACAGTGGGCTGTGCTGGGGAAGAAAATGTTGTCCATGGCTAAAAGGGGGATTCTGTCAGAGACGCACCAACAAGGAAGGATGTGCAATTACCATATTGGAGTTATATTTTGGGGGGAAAAGAGCAGCAGAAAAATTTGCATGATATGTAACTTTTCAATAGGCTTATAAAAATTATCAGAGAATTTGAAGTAGAAGGGGTTACCTTATATATCATTACTTTCCCTCTAAAAGTAGACCTTTCCAGCCAAGATTGGTATATTTTGAAGAAAACAGCAAGCAAAGTCTATAGTTTCAGAATTTTGTTGTTGTTGTTTTACTGAGAATAGTCAAACCAATGACTAAATATTGAAGATAACCCCCCTCGTAGGATTAAGAAGCTGAAATGAAATTACCACTTTTTCTTATTTGCAAACATTATTATTTGCAAATTTGTCTCAAGGCAACTGAATGAAAAGTAGATTTTCTTCTCTCTCAACAATCTCCCAGAAATAAATGGGACAAAAAAGCAATTGCCTAAAAGAGTACTATGTTCTTAAAGAAAACATCCTGGATTAATTGACAAAAGTACCTATTAGTCCCCATGATACCATGCGAGACTTGTCTCTCAGTGTGCAAGTTAAATATATATCCACAAAATCCTTGCCAATAATAATAATAATAACTTCTCATCTGTTGACACTGTCTGACCATTAAAATCTCTCAGAGAAATCTCATGTTTGGTTTGATAAACTTTACAAAAAATGTTGAATGTTTCTAATTTACAAAACACATGCTAGAGATGGTGGCAAGTACAAAGATGAATAGTTCATCACTTCAAATTTATAACCTCATGAGAGAGACAGAAATATATACAAATAGTATAGGGAAATAAACATGGTGGTGGTTGTTGGCAACTCTGTCATCTACTTGGTAGTTGTGTATCTGGATTTTTCTTTTACTTTGATGTTAAAGAAAATTATTTCAAAAAATATATTTTTCTTTTGTAACCATTTAAAGTATATTGTGCTTGAGTTAATTAAAAGGAAAATTATTTTATGTCATAGGTATATCTGTGCAAACACTATGATGCTAACTATACTATGTACTAATTTATAATAAAGTAGTATATAATATTACTAAACTTATGATCAAATAGGTTTGTTTCTTACATCATTATGGGCATAATAATTGGCTTAAGTCCTGATTAGAAGTCAAATGGAGGCTTTTAATGGCAAATATAATGCTAGGTTAAAGTAAACTGTAAGAATACTTGTGTGAGGCCTTGGTACCTGGCAAATGCTTGCTGAATGAAGATAAAACTTTTCAGCTTCAAAAAAAAAAAAAAAAAGAAAGAAAAGAATCAATGCAATCTGATGTGGACTAATAGCTATCAAATAGATCCTCATGTTTGAAAAACCCTTAAATTACTCTCAACAGCTGTATATAATTATAAAACTTCAAATGTTCTAGATGGATAAGACACTTGTGTTTATTTATTTATGAGGAGGTTTTGGAAGCAGTTAAGTTTGGTTGGAGTGTAGTGACTGAGATAATCTAAAGAAATGCAGGCTGGTGGGAGAATTACAAACATGATTATAATGTGGCTAGCTTCTGCTTCTCAATCTAAAACTCTTTGAGAGATAATAGGTCATCTCACACATTCTAAAAATTTTCAAAAATGTCAAAGAGTGCAGGTGATTTCAGTATAACTTGCCCTAGGTTAAACAAAAGGTCTTGATCCACAAGCCAGTATCCTAATATACCCCTGACACAGATAAGTATATTTGCTGTTGGTCAATGAATGAACATTGAATTAAGGTATTTTTGCAGTTATCTAGGCCAACAACAATCAAGTCTTCCTTCCCTCCAATGGCAAACCACAGAGAAATGTCTTAAATAAAATACATTCATTTGGTCTGACCAAATAATTCTGTGATATTATATCTTAACTCAAAATTCATTCAGACATAAAAACAAGTAAGGAGAATAAAAATAAATAATCACTTGGAATAATCAATTTATACTTAAAAACCATAACTCATTCTTTAGCGTATTCTCAACTTTAGTTCCTACCAAAATGAGTCATGTTAAAAATAGGCAAATACTTTACATTGTGTTAGAACCAAAGAGTTGTTAGTTTAGAACTGGTAAAACTTTCTGTCAGACTTGAGCATTTATAGACAGAATTTCTGGTGTGCAAAACCAAATGCAATGTTGATCTTGCCAGGGAGACTAAGAATGAGAACAAAAACACGTACAAATAAGGAAGTTAGAGACTTACTGTATCACGTTGCCTGTTATCTTTCCCTGATATTATCAAGAAGTAGTTCCAAGTCAGTAGTAACAACAAAACCAGTGGTATCATGTAGAGCTCAAAGTTCCAGACAACAAAGAGAAAGAGCTGGAGGAGAGAGAAGGGCACAGAAAAGGATGAGTCAACTTTGAATTTCATTAAATGGACTCTCTTACCCATACTGCATTTCAAAAAACAAAACAAAAACACACAACTAAATTTGCAGAACGGAAAGATTTATCTTGAAAACAAAGCCTTGAGAACTTGCTAAGCATGTTTTCTAAAAGAACAACTGACCCTTGGAAAGTCATGATGATTTTCACTTTGTTGAATTTCTCTGAAGGAAAACTGATATTATCACATTGTCAATGGGGCAATTTTAATTTTTCTCCTCCAGCAAAATTATTGTTAGACTGGCCGAAATCAAGTTTGAAAAAAAAAGTCAGCAAAATGAGCTTCACTACATTGTCAGAAATAAATGGTGTATCTGTCTTAATGATATAGGATGAATCACCATTTAATATCAGGGGCTTTTAAAAAAAAATCTCACTTGGATAATACAACGTAACAAGTGTAATAGGCAGATGAAAATACCACATCTACACCAAGAGTCCTCAAGATTTCACATAATGAATAAAAGCACTGCTCCCAACAAGTGTAAAAACATTCAGCCTTACCATAGAAATCAAACAGCTATTTTAAAAACAGAGTAATTTTGTCAAAGGGAAACTTTAAATGTCTACTTTAATTATCTTTTAAAACTACCTAATTCATCTCAATGTATGACAAAAACCACTGCAATGATGTAAAGTAATTAGCCTCCAACTAATAAAAATAAATGAAAAAAAAAAATAAATAAAACTACCTACTTATCTAAGTATGCAAATGGTTTTTAAAAGTGTAAGATTAGAGGCTCATTTGGGCTGGCAGAAGAAACCATTCTAAGAGCATCTGTATAGTGAAATAACCAGCAATGGATATAAAGTGTGACTCACTCTCACTCCCCACCAGATTCTCATAACCCTGCACAGACCATCTACATTCTCTGGGTCTGTGGTCCCTGCTGCCAAATTAAGGTAGTTTAAGTCAGAAGGTAGTTGAGTGCTAGATTCCACCCCTAAAGGTAACTAGTCCTCTAACCTCTGGCGTGGTACGTCTCTTCCCTTTAGCTTCTTCTGTAAAGTGGGAATCCTAAGAGTGTCCCCCTGAGAGGTCGTGAGAATTAACAGTTGAAATGTGTTTAAGGTTTAACACACTGTTTGGTACTCAGTAAGTGCTCAAAAAAATGACTGTGTAAACGATATCAATATTCTACAAAACTGATGAAATTAACATTTATCAACCGAGGCCCTTAGGAAATACATATTCTAATACTAAAAGCTAGAAAGTATCTGCCTGCTAAGATTTAGCTGAACCAGAGTATAGCTGAGAATTTGAGCTGGCTGGTTGGGGTCATGCTATCTTGCATTTGACAGATCAGAAGAGCCAGGAGCAGTGCCCTAAGAACCTTCGTATCAAGTACAGCAGCACGGGCTATTTGCAGCTTTCTTATTTATTTATTTATTTATTTTCATTTATTTTTATTAGTTGGAGGCTAATTACTTTACAGCCCAGGTTGGATGCATGAGACAAGTGCTCAGGGCTGGTGCACTGGGAAGACCCAGAGGGATGGGATGGGGAGGGAGGTGTTTGCAGCTTTCTTAAGAAACCTCAGAGAAGCCCACAGCCTATTCAAACCGCAGAGAAAAGAATCCTGTACAGAGAGGCAGAGGGACCCTGGCCCATGGGCCAGAAGACAGGTTCTGGGCCTTAGAAAGTCACTCTGCTTCAGTGTTTTCACTTCTCAACAGAGCTCTGTAGACCTGATCACCACTGACATCCCTTCTCTAATATTTTAAATGGCATTACTGTACCATCAGGGTTTTTTTTTTTTTTAATGTGACATTAAATTTTGAAGACTGTATCTTTTACTGGATTCTTTTATATTCATAACCCACATGGACACCAAAAAGCATAAATAATGGTTTAGTAACCCAAGAAATGAATTTTGGACAGAATTACTTCCTGAATAAGAAAAATCTCAAATATGTTAATGCATGAAACATGAGCCATATCTTCTCTTTCACCAGGGAAGTATAAAGATTTCCAGAAAAGGAAAATATTCCCATTTAATTTTTGAAATATATGTAATATATTTAAAGATGACACAAATTATAACTGATGGCTATGATTATTCTATTAAAGTATATCTTAAAAATGCACTTTATTCAGGAAGTGATTTAAGGCAAATTTGACAGACATCAACACATATAAAAGAGAGAATTATTTTTGGCTAGGATTTGTATTAATTCTTTGCATATTTATTAGTAAAATTTAGACGATCACTAAAATATAAGCTCTTTAAAGATAGGGACTTTCCCTTTTAGCTCACATTCTATCCCCAGAGCCTAGAATGGTGCTTTCCGTTTATTTGTATCTTCAGTTTCTTTCATCAGTGTCTTGTAGTTTTTAGTGATAGGTATTTCACCTTAATTAAATTTATTACTAAGTATTTTATTCTTTTTGATGCACCTGTAATGGGATTGTCTTCTTAATTTCTGTCTCTGATCATACATTGTTAGTGCATTGAACTGCAATACATTTTTATATGTTGACTTTGTGTCATGAAACTTTACTGAATTCATTTATTCTAACAATTTTTTTTGAGGACTCTTTAGGGTTTTCTATATATAAAACCATGTCATACACAAATAGTGACAGTCTTACTTATTTCTTCTAATATGGATGACTTTTCTTTTTCTTGCTTAATTACTCTTGGTAGGACTTGCAACACTTAGTAAAATAAAACCAGCAAAGTGGGCATCCTAGACTTGTTCCTGATCTTAGAGGAAAAATATTTCAGCTTTTCACTATTGAGTATGTTAGCTGTGGACTTATCATATATGGCCTTTATTATGTTGAGGTATGTTGCATCTACATTCACTTTGTTGAGGGTTCTTTTTATCATATATGGATACTGAATTTTGTCAGATGCTTTTTTTGCATCTATTGAGATGATCACACGCATTTTAGCCTTTATTTTATTAATGTTTTATATCCTGTTGGTTGGTTTATGGATACTGAAGCAGCCTCGGACCCCTGGAATAAATCCCAAGTAATCATTGTACCTGATCTTTTTAATGTATTGTTGGATTCAGTTTGCTAATATTTTGTTGAGAATTTTTGCATCTGTGTTCATCAGGGAAACTGGCCTGTAATTTTCTCTTATTTTTGGAAAGGAAAGTTCCTTCAATAAATGTTGTTGGGAAAACTGAACAGCCACATGCAAAAGAATAAAACCAGACTATCTTACACCCTATGCAAAAATTAACTCAAAACAAATTAAAGATTTGAATGTTAAGGTCTATAACCATAAAACTCCTAGAAGAAAACATAGGCAGTAAGCTCCTTGATACTGAACTTAAGTATGATTTTTTTTGGATATGACTTCTAAAACAAAGGCAACAAAAGCAAAAATAAACATGTAGGACTACATCAAACTAAGAAGCCCAGCAAAGGAAACAACAAATCATCAGCAAAATGAAAAGCCAATCTACTGACTGGGAGAAAATATTTGTAAATTATTAGTACACATTTGAGAAGGGGTTAATATTCAAAAATTCATACAACTCAATAGCTAAAAACCAAGCAAACTGATTAAAAAACGGGCAGAGAATCTGAATGGACATTTTTCCAAAGGAGACATACAGAGGGTCAACAGGCACACACAAAGATGCTAATCATCAGGGAAATGCACGTCAAACCCATACTGAGATATCACCTCACATCTGTTAGAATGGTATTGTAAAAAAGGCAAGAAATACAGAGTGTTGGTAAGAATGCGAAAAGGGATTCCTTATGCTCTATTAGTGGGAATGCAAACTGGTAGATCCACTGTGGAAAACAGTATGGAAGTTCCTCAAAAAATTCAAACATATCTACCATATGATTTAGTAATTCACTTCTGGGTATTTATGTGAAGAAAATGAAAATACTAACTCAGGAAGATATACGCACCCTCATGTTTATTGCAACATTATTTACAACAGCCAAGATATGGAAATAACCTAAGTGTTCATCAATGGATGAATGGATAAAGATGTTATGTATACAATAGAATACTATTCGACCATCAAAAGAATGGAATCCTGCCATTTGCAACAACCAAGATGGACCCAGAGGGTGTTATGCTAAGTGAATCATGTTAGTGAAATGAATCAGATAGAGAAAGACAAACACCCTATGATCTCACATTTATGTGGCATCTAAAGACAAATAGATGAAAAAAACAGGGACTTTGCTGGCAGTTCAGTGGTTAAGATTCCATGCTTTTACCACAGGAAGCACAGGTCCAATCTCTGGTTGAAATACTAAGATTCTACATGCCCTGTGGTGCAGCCAAAAAAAAGCGGGAGGGGGTGGGGGTGGACAAAGAAACCAGATGAACAAAAAAATAACAAAAAAAAACACAGATCAGTAGTTGCCAAAAGTGAGGGAGTTGGGTGAAATGGGTTAAGGAGGGCAGAAGGTACAAAATTCCAGTTATAAAATGACAAGCCATGGGAATATTGTGGACGGCCTGGTGACTATAGTCAATAATACTGTAGTGCATATTTGAAAGTCACTTAAAGAATAAATGTTAAAAGTCCTCATTATAAAAAACATACAAACTTATAACTATGTATGGTGAAGGATGGTAACTAGATTTACTGTGGTGATCATTTCACAATATATAAAAATATTGAATCATTATGTTGAACCCTTGACAATAATATAACATTGTAGGTCAATCAAACATCAATTAAAAAAAAAAGAGCATGAACACAAATTAACAATAAAACATATTTATTGATCATCTATGTGCTATATAATACTAGGTGTTCAAAATTAGGATAAGACACAGTCTCTGGATTCATATTGCTAAGAATCAGTAAGAAAAAAGCAATTATTCTCTATAGTACTAGTGATAATACTAATTCTTGTTAACGGTGATGATCCTCTAAGAAAGAGAACCCTCAAAACAAGAAGGGGCCTTTTAGCTTATTCTCTCCACACTGAAGCTGTTTTAT